AAATCTTCGAACGTTGGTTCTAACCACAGCACGTCCTAATGTAGCACCTGTGTCTCTCGGGACGGCTTTCACCCTTCTTACAGTAGAGTACCAAGTACTCTAATTCGTTAACGAGTTTTCTAAACACACAGAAGAAAAAAAAAGTTGCTCCTTGTCACAATTGTATGATGCTGTACGAGCTTCGTGCTTTTGTGTTTTCTTTTTTCATTGTTTGCTTCAGCGATTCGTGATCTGTGTGAGTATTTCAGTGCTGTAAGTTGCGTCGTGTCTTTGTACTCTTGTTTGTACGTGCCTGGGAAGGGATTTTGTTACACCAGCCAGTTTTACTCGCCTGAAGTGCTGTTACAAGTACACAATAAACTTCCCTGTTTATTCTGTTATCCCATAGTAGAGCACCAAGTGCTCTCAGTCGTTAAACACTTTCTATACACACGGCGTTCTTACGTCGTGTGTGTAAGCAACGCAGTAAACTAGTTCAGGGCGTAATTTTTGTCAGCACGGCGTCATCAAGTCTGAGGCCCAGGGGACGGCTTTATGCTCTCTCATAGTAGAGTACGAAGTACTCTAAATCGTTAACCACTTTTTCTAAACACGCAATGGTTTCACCCATACACGGGACAGCTTAACACTCTCCCATAGTATAACGCATCGTTCTTTAAATCATCTGACATTTCCTCTAAACACAATCAGGCGCTGATTCATCCCCTTTGTTCAGAGCACTCTTGTGCAGAGTAGCTCACTTGTACGCTTGCAGAATTGGCCATTAATTGTCACTAATGCATTCATTGAAACTGTGCTTAGCTACTGCAATCAGTCCATCATTATCTCACCCACGCAAGCGCTCATTCGCTCACTGCTGCTTTTATGGATTTATTTGATCACACGCTCGAAGAACCTCTGATTCGTAACCTTAACTGTACTCATTGCCTCTTTCTATCGCACGTTTCTCTCTGCTGCATATGAATGTTAAAATTCTACTTGGCTGTTTCTGAAAGAACCTCGATCAGAGTTGGCATGCAAGTTTACTTTCTTCTCTTAATGCTAGGGACGTGGTTATTTTTGTATGTTTATTATTCTAATATATAGGTAGGAAAGCGATATTTTACGTCCTTACTCGAAAGCAGAAATAACTAACTGAAAAAAATTCGACACGTCTGCGCTGAACACGCAGCATTGGCGCAACAAAAGCTAAAAGAGCGGCCTTCAAAAGCCTTTTCTTAACGTTCTTTGGGTAGCTGCTGCAAGAAAACTTGCAGGTTACCCACAACGCCGTTAATTATTGTGTAATAGGCAGGCATTCACTATGTCTGCCTTCATTATTCTTCAGAGAAACGTGGTACTTGCTGCAAACTTGCAAGAAATTTATGTGAGCTGTAGCTGACAGCGATGAAGAATCATGCCATAAGCTTTTGCAATCCTTACGATCCCCCACAGTGAATATGGGCTACAGTTAATAGGTGAACAAGATCAAGCTTTTGTTAAGGGTTGGAGCATTCGATGACCCATTCGTTGCTTATGCGATAATAGGTTGTTCCTTTGCTGTCCTGTAACGCTTTGTTACCCATATTAACGTGATTTTTTCCCCGGCACCTTCCTATGGCCATTTTGCAAGAGTTCGAAGCAGCGGCGTAGCTCAGTGGTAGAATTCTGGGCTGCCACACAGGCGACCCGTGTACGAATTTCATTGCACCTTTGGTGTTTTTTTTTTGTTTACTGACTTTTTTACTTAAACTGTGCGATAGTGGTTGCGGACACCAGCGATGGCGGCGGACAACTACGGTGCACACGTGACCCGTGTTGTGATCTTATAACAGCTTTCGCAGTAAATATGCAAATGACATGCACTTCAATAGCGGAAAGCAGAAGGTTAACAAGAAAGGAATACCTTTTTATTTTATTGTAATTTACAACATATAACAGAAAAACTTTGGCGATAAAAATCTCGCGTGTTCACCGAAAATATTGGTCTCATCGGAAAACCATATCAGCAAATAACATGCAAAATTTAGTGTGTGACCAGAGGAAGCTGGCACATCTTTTCATGTACTGCTTTTCAGCGCCACATCAACGTCACGAACAGCTCTGAATGATTGCAAGCAAAGGTTTGATTGATATGGGGGTCTAACGTCCCAAAACCACCATATGACTATGAGAGACGCCGTAGTGGAGGGCTCCGGAAATTTCGACCACCTGGGGTTCTTTAACGTGTACCCAAATCTGAGCATACGGGCCTACAACATTTCCGCCTCTATCGGAAATGCAGCCGCCGCAGCCGGGATATGAACCCGCAACCTGCGGGTCAGCAGCCGAGCACCTTAGTTACTAGACCACCTCGGCGGGGCTGCAAGCAAAGGATTTAGATGTCAATGATCATACTTGTTCGCGTAAACATGCGGTGCGGGCATGCGTGTGTAATCAACTAGATGAGTTGACACCTGCGACATAATCTCGCCCCTTCCTAAGCCCAGTGCAATTTTTCGCGTGACATCAGAGTACTGTGGCGAAAGCCACATAACAAGCTCTTTTCAGGTGGTATATCAAGGCAAGAAAATTTTAGAACAGCTGTCCTTTGTTATTATTAGTTTCTTAGTGCGAGAAGTGTGGGGGATGTCTTTCGGGAGATTGACGGACGTCCCCACGCAGTGCTGAGGTTGGCTGAAAAGGCAGGAGTCGGCAGTGCGAATCGGTGATTTGACAGGTGTGCGTGTCCCGAACAATCGCACGCGTTCCCGTTGCGAGGCCTAGCTCTTTCGCCCAGACCACCCGCTTCCTCTTTCGGTCTTCGTCCACCGTTCATGGGTTGTCTGAATGTGAGAACACGAATTCCGTCCACGTGGCAGTTACGTGTACACACATCCAAGGCCGTGACACAGCACAACGGTGCTATAGAATAACACAACACTGCTTTCAGCACAGCGAGACGCGTCGACGCGTTCGAGTATATATACAAAAAAACCAACGTCAGCCCCACCTGTTCCCCAAGTTCAAAGTGACATGAAGGTGCATGAAGGCGTCCAAAATTCATGCGCACAATCTCGGAGGCTACGACACGTTGTCACGCTTGGGTTCCCTTCGCTCGCGCGTGATTTTAGTGTCTTCCGCAATGCGCAGCTATAGCGCTTGTTTGTATCTGCGTGGTAGGGTACGTTCGTATCAAGCGTCACGAAATGAAAATTGGTTCGCAACAACCATACTCCACTAGATTCCAAGTTAACGGGCTTTGTACGGGATCACAGAACGATTTCTATCGCACCAAATTTCGTATGAGCCGTGATTGCATCACAGGCTTCTACTAAATTGCGTTAAACTCCATTGTGAACATGGCCATGCGATCGCTACGCATAAGACAAAATTTAAAATCTTGAACCAAAAATAGGTGAAATCTGCTTGCTATGTTGTGTGCTCCGAGCCCTTAGCTTCCTGCTGCATAAGAGTGGTTCTGCTATTTGTGGCAGCCACTGCTATATCACGGTAATTTTTTGCTGGATGGGCAAAGTTAGTTTATCAGGAAAACCAATAAAAACAAACGTGATATTTGGCTGTGGAGAGTCACAATCGTGTATACACATGCATGGTAGCAAATATTAGTGCAAACAAGCTAAATGCAGCAAATGCAAGTATGACATTACTGATTTGTTCCAGCATCCACACAGCTACACATTAGGTGGCCTATGTCTGTTGAAATTGATATTGCTGCTACAATGCTAAACTAAGAGGCAGGAAAATTTGCAAATAGGGCAAGTAACAGAGGACGCTTTCAAAAATGCCATTTCCCAAAAAGTATTGTTTCTTAATTTTTTGACACTGTAGCACCGTAACTGTGAGACCACCCCTGCGTTTTACGACTGTATGTAGATACACTTTTGTGTCATGGGGAGGGTCTCTTTACAGACAACGTAAGGGAGTTTGCATTAGGTCAAGGGTCGCCCCGGTTCTGAGTGACATTTTTTTTGCCAAGATTGACACCATCCTCAGTGAAAAACTTGTGGATTTGGTGCAAACCGCTTTCAGATATGTGGACGACTATTTAATTTTTCTGCTGCCTTCCATAACTAACAGGGAAAACCCGGCTGAAGTTGTATTGAGTGCTTTTAAAACACATGGAGGGGGGCTAGACTTCACTTGCGAAGTTCCCCAACAGGGATTGCTGAGGTACTTAGATATTAATATGACATTGTTTCCAAATCACGTATGCTGGGAATACCAACCGCGAAGTGTTAAACCCTTGTTAAACTATGCCTCCTGCCCACAAAACTGGTTAAGAGAGCTATTGCTTCGTCGGCTGTAAGAGCTGGCTTATCTAAGTCATGCCTACACAAGATGACTGATAGTGTAACAATGCAGATTACCAGACTTCTGTCAGCGGGATTTTCAAAATCTGTAATTTCTTCATTGTGCGAAGCTTTGTTGCAAAAAATCGAACAAAACCAAGAAAAAGCAGGAAGAAATAAAGAGCGAAAAAAGTTGCAGTTATCCCATACTTCCACAATATATCTCATGGTTTGAAGAAGGTAGGCTCGAGATATGGTGTGGATGTAGTTTTATCAGCCCCGTGCAAAGTAGGCCAGATTTGCAGAATGACGGAAGAGACTGTGGAATCACCAAAAAGGTTGGACATGCGCCGTAAAACACATAAATAAATTTGTAGATTGCGCAGTTTGTGTTGTTTACATGCTTCCTTTAACGTGCGGTCGTTGTTATATAGGCTAAACTGGGCGGTGCATTAATAAAAGGTTAGGAGAACATATGAATGATATATGCAAAGGAATTAGTTCAAACCTTGTTTTGCACTGCAAAAGCTGCGGGTGCCAGCCTCGATTTCCGGGCGTGAGTGTGCTGGCACGCCACATGGACAAGTTCGCCGAATACAAATTCCATATGCTTTCTTTCTTTTCACAGTTTTCCAGATGGCCAAGACCTTGCTCCAGGACTGCATCGGATACATGAACGCTGAGACGCCCAATCTGACTCGTGACGTTGCTTCCGTGCTTGACGTACTCAACCTATCGGCTCTTCTCGCAAGCAATACGTCGAGAGCTGCATTGCTGTTCTCCCTCAACATGTCGTTCACAACAGGCTTGCGCAGTCTTGTGGGCATCACGCGTCGCAAGGATCAGCAAGGAGGTGTTAGTTACCTGTATTTGTACAGGGCGCCAAGCTTGCTCCACGAGTTGAGGGCGCAGACCACAGACGAAGGCCTTTATCTCTATTTTCAAGCTCTGATTGCTGCGATATCACCGTCAGAGGAGAATGCTCCGATAACCGGTGCCCGGGACCTCATCGACGTCGACACCGTAGTCGAGTCCTTTGACACGAGTGAGACGCGAGTAACGTGGCTTCCGTTGGAAGTGCTAAAGAAGGGCACGGCGTTTCCAGAGGGCCTATGGAGCGAAGCCTTTCGCTTGTTTCGCGCCGGAGGCCTCGTACAAGACGACAATGATGAGGTCCTGTTTAGTGGCCACAAGCAGACCGGAGGTATCTTCAGGCACCTCGACAACGCTCCTGCACAGACGACGTCCTGGTACTTGGCAATGATTTTCCTTGCACAGGTACGTTGTGTACATTGCGTAAAACGAGGTAGCATACCTCGTGGCTCAGGAACACAGAGGCTTGTCAAATATCAAAAAACTGAAGATGTCTAATTAACCCCGTGAAAGGAACTTGGGTACAGTACTTTTAGATTCGAAGCAGCTCTTTGACTAGCCTGTATAACGCTGTCCCTCCGTCCGCACCGCCCTCCTCACCGCAGGTGTTGGAGCGGTGCCAAGTAGCTCACGCCCTCGTGGCAGTGCGCGGTGACGTCTTCTCTTCCTCGGCTGCCGTGCGCTCACCGCGTGTACGCCCGCTCTCGCTTCACGCTCTCCACCACTCGCAACGCTCGAGCCCACTCCTCACGTGGGCATCATCTCACCCGTGACACCTCTCTCCATCTGTCGGCGAGAAGAAGCTGCGAGCCGGTAGGTGCGCACGTTCCACGCGCCTCGGGAATCTCGAGGCGCCGAGATTGTGGACAGCGCGCCAATCCTTGCCGTATGAAGTGCTTATTTGGGCCGGTTGGTACATGGTCAACGAAGTGAAAAAACAGCGCGTAACACAGGACACAGGACAGAGAAGAGACGGACGAGGCGCTGACTTACAACCAAAATTTATTTCGTACAGGGGTGTATATATAGCACACGAAACTTGAAAAAAGAGGGAGAGAAGTCGAGTGACATGAAAGAGTAATTTTCGTTATGATTGTATGCGTATAACAAATAAACTGTGATTGCGCAATCATTCGCTTGTCAAATACGCCAATTCCCTGGTGAGGAGCGTTATCGAAGGTGCACTGACACACATATCGCCTTTCTTGATTATGCAGAATGCCTCATAAATCTCACGTGTCCTTTTATCTCTGTAGCGTCGAAGTATCTTGCATTTGTCAAACAATGCACGGCATCCACAAATGGAGCTGTGCGCAGCTAAGTGGCTGCCAACAGAACCCCGCATTAGATTGCGGTGTTCCCTGAGGCGGTCATTTATACAGCGGCCAGAATGCCCGATGTAACAGCGGCCGCAAGAGAGGGGAATTTCATAAATGGCACAAAAACAACATTCAACAAACTTGATTGCGTGTTTTTTATCACACACGCGAGGCCCTCTGTCCTCTCTGTTCACCTGATGGCACATACTAGAGAACTTATTTCTGGCTGAAAAAACAACTCTGATTCCAGCTTTTTGTGCTACCTTTTTTAAACAATGTGACACCTTATGCAAGTAAGGAATGACTGCTGTTCTTGAAAAAGAACTTTTTTCTTGACCACTAGTCGGTTCGGTTAGCTGTTTGATGTCTTTTAAGATACTTTCAGCTATGGAACACAGTATGTTATCCGGGTACCCTGCCTTGCGCAATCTGCGCACCTGTGACTCAAAACTAGTACACAATGTGTGATGGCAAGACCGCATCAGGGCCGCCTTTAGACAGGATTTTGCAATCGCTCGCTTTACAAGTTTTGAATGCGCAGAACTGTAGGGTAGCAAACTTTTTTTGGAGCGGGGGGCATACTGCCAGCACACGTGGTCGGACAAAAAAACTTCAATGTCAAGGAACCGGAGTTTGTTAGCAATGGGGAATTCAGTGGTTAGTTGCAGTGAGCCCAAGCAAGTGCGAAACACATCATCAAACAGCTAACCGAACCGACTAGTGGTCAAGAAAAAAGTTCTTTTTCAAGAACAGCAGTCATTCCTTACTTGCATAAGGTGTCACATTGTTTAAAAAAGGTAGCACAAAAAGCTGGAATCAGAGTTGTTTTTTCAGCCAGAAATAAGTTCTCTAGTATGTGCCATCAGGTGAACAGAGAGGACAGAGGGCCTCGCGTGTGTGATAAAAAACACGCAATCAAGTTTGTTGAATGTTGTTTTTGTGCCATTTATGAAATTCCCCTCTCTTGCGGCCGCTGTTACATCGGGCATTCTGGCCGCTGTATAAATGACCGCCTCAGGGAACACCGCAATCTAATGCGGGGTTCTGTTGGCAGCCACTTAGCTGCGCACAGCTCCATTTGTGGATGCCGTGCATTGTTTGACAAATGCAAGATACTTCGACGCTACAGAGATAAAAGGACACGTGAGATTTATGAGGCATTCTGCATAATCAAGAAAGGCGATATGTGTGTCAGTGCACCTTCGATAACGCTCCTCACCAGGGAATTGGCGTATTTGACAAGCGAATGATTGCGCAATCACAGTTTATTTGTTATACGCATACAATCATAACGAAAATTACTCTTTCATGTCACTCGACTTCTCTCCCTCTTTTTTCAAGTTTCGTGTGCTATATATACACCCCTGTACGAAATAAATTTTGGTTGTAAGTCAGCGCCTCGTCCGTCTCTTCTCTGTCCTGTGTCCTGTGTTACGCGCTGTTTTTTCACTTCGTTGACCTTGCCGTATGACCGCGCCGATAGGCGGAACGCCGTCGCGGCATGCTTCCCGCTAGTGTTCGCGTACCTAGCCAGGATGTCGCCGGCTTTGCGAGGATGAGTGAAACCAATCGCGTTGCAGCATGGTGACGTCAGCACCGACGAGGCGCAAGCCAGGGAAGCCGAACGCGAAAGTCGGCAGTGGGAGACCAGCGACACCGACAAGGTGCGAGTGAAGAACACCGATCGCGTTCGAGAATACAGACGGCGCGCAGGTAACAATGACGAGGCGCAAGCCAAGGAATCCGAGCGCAAACGTCTTCAATGCGTCCCGCCTCCCGTGTCATTGCGTTTCAAACAAGCGTTTGCTCGAGTAAACGCTACACCAAGTCTCGCTTCAAACCGTTCTTCCAGCGCCCACGTTGACGCCCGCTTCAACCGGGTCAACGCCATGGTCACCACTGCTGCTTCGCATCCCATCAAGGTTCTCTTCGGGGAGATGATTCATTATTTTTCAGAGCTAGCTCGGAGCTAGTTCGTCGCACATGGCAAGAATTTTGAACAGAAATATTTGCATGGACCGAAAGAAAAATAGTGTGTGAATGTTTTGCAGTGTTCTGAGGGGCTCTATTCTGGAAATTCTCAGCGCACACGCCGGCATTTTCCCATGTTGTGGAGCACACTCGATCCTCGTCCATATAGCACGAAAATGTGAACTCAGGTCATCTGAACTTCATAAGCCTGCCAATGCGGCTCAAAATTTCAGGGGGAAGCAATGATTTACAATCGCTTAACAGCGAAGATACGGAGGCACAAGTGCCACTCCTCGACCAGACGTGGCGGGCTGTGGAAGCTAGTGGAGCCGTAAACTAGGGGCCCCACCTACTAGCTTCCCGAATCTTTCTTTTCATTAAACGTTTTCCTAAGAAATTCCATTATTCTTAGTGGGCGGGAACTTTAACGCCATGTGTGATAATTTTGTTTCGTAACTCCAGAGACTAATATTCAAAAAGGGGTAGGTACAATAAAAAAGGGACAATATATTGACAGAAATGAAAACTTCCTTATACGTCACACATTCGCAACCCGACATGCAGGCCCTACGCGTCGACTACGCCAGGCGGTACCAATCCGGACGAACCCGGGACCAGGAGTACCTCTGCCTGGACTTGGTCGACCAAGCGTTCGAGCTTCGCTGGCACAACTTCGTCAGCAATCTCAGCTTCGCCAGCATGCTAGGCGACTCCGAGCTCGACAACATGTTCACGCTAGTGCGCGAGAATGTTGTGCCTGCCTGGTTCGGCAATGCGACGGCGCTGATGGCAAAAGAGAAGCTCAGCGTCGTGTCTTACAAGGCATACGTGCCTTCCGATGACGACACATACACACGGACACTGGCAGGTGAGCAAAGATGGCCGAAATGTGGAAAGCCGGACCAGAAGGTCTAGCGAAATTGTTAGTTCACTTGGTTGGCCGTTACTCTCCTCAAGGTGTAAATATATCAGGCTATGTCTTTTCTACAACCTAATAAACGACAAAAGTGCGATCAATAAAAACAAATACATCAGACCACCAACATACATATCATCACGACGGGATCATCTTTTGAAAGTGTGTGAATATATGTGCCGAACATCAACGTATGCAAATACTTTTTTCCTAAAACTATTCACGAATGAAACAGTCTTCCAAAAAACATTGTGACCGCCCCTTCCACAGCATTTCCTTCTCTTTTAAAGGAGTATGTGGTCACACAATGATATTGTATGCTGTGATTTAGGTATTTTTCATTTGCTTTTATTTTTTGAGTGCCGTGCAATTCAAAATACATTTCAATCAGTGGGGACAAGTTGAATTTTTAAACCCCCCGACAACAATGCCTCCAGAGGGAGCTGTAGGTATAAGTATACTACCAGGGCTAGGAAGGTTTTCAGCTACTTGTACATGAAGAATGTCGATACAAAATGGAGGAAGCGAACCAGGAAGTTGACTGGTAAATACTTAGAAAACAGCAGGTGGCCAAACAAAAAGAACTATCGGTTAAGAAGAAAGTGAAGGAAACGGAGACTGACATGTGGAAAATGGGCATGATTAAGAAGTCCGCACTAGAGATCTATCGAACTTTTAAGCAGGAAATTGCCAAGGAAAGGATCTATGATAATACTCGGGGTAGTTCTTTACTGTTTGAGGCAAGGACGGGAGTACTGCGAACCAAGACATATCGGCCCAAATACGAAGGGGTAGACACAGTATGCAGTGCGTGTGGAGAGGAAGAAGAAACTGCCGAACACTTGATAATGTTCTGTAAAGGGCTTCACCCTATAGTTCAGGATGATGGCGCAGAGTTTTTCAAAGCACTGGGGTTAAGTGACCGGGAGGGCAAAATAGACTTTAAGCAAGTAGACTTAACTAGAAGGAGGTTATCTGATTGGTGGCTAAAGTCAAGGCACGAGTGAAAATTAAACTCTTCACTGCAAAGTGCGAATCCTCAAACTCACTTTTTAAGGAAAAAATAAATAAATATAGTTTTGGGTTCATTAAGTATTACGGCTTGGTGGCGCTAGCCACAGCCCGATCTAAAGGGTACAGCCATATCCATCAATCCATCCATAAATAAAGAATAAATAAATAAATATGTGTCGATTCAACATGTCAACATAAGGCACAGTAAAGCAAATTGTGATTTCAGTGTTGTAATACTAGTACTGTTCTAGCTGTATTTCAGCTGCTTGGACGAACTAACCAAGAGACCGACAGCGTACCTATAACGCCAATCGACTTATCTTTCTCTTTCTCTCTCTCTCTCTCACACATCCACGCGCACACACACAAACACCCACACCCACACACACACGTGTGTCTGTTCAAGTGAGCATGTGCATGCACACCTGTTCACTTGAATAAGAACCATTAATTTTGCGCCAGTTTTATTTTATATGAGTCAATATTTCCATCAGCGAGGTTGTTAGTTGGGCAGGCTGGAACAGGTCATGCCGCAAGTGAGAACGCTATTTGAGCGAACACTCATTTTATATGGAAGAATGCACTGCGTCTTCGTTTTTTACCGTTTATTACAATTTTCCCGCTTATTACCATTATGAATAGCTTTTTTTGCCTATTTGAAAAGCCCGAATTAACTGATCTACCGGAAGTACATGGAAGGGAAAGAAGAGTGTCACTGGCTGTGCGTGCTACTGAAAACCAAGCAATGGCAGTAGTTATGCACGTTCCTTAATTTACTGATATAACACAAGAATTTCACACGGAAGAAAGTGTATGACTAAAAGTACTGGTACAGTGCTTAGTTAGGAAGAAAATGGCGTCGCAGTGTGTCCAACGCCACTGTTTTGCATGTCCTTCATTCTTCTTAACCGGAAGGCCCCAACATGACGTACCTGTTGCGAGAAGCGGAAGCTGCTGTGAACCGGCCTTTTCCAGGAAGTTACGTGGCTCTGCGAACCGTGACGCAACGAGAGACCATGTTTGTGAGTGCGCCCGACGCGGCAGAAGCAGAGAAGGCGAGGCATTGGGCTGAGCTGTGGCCCGTCTACAACGATGTTCACGGCACGATTATTCTACCCTCGGCATATTTGGAAAAGCCTGTCGCCTACATTAACTCTGCGACTCCGGAAGTCAACTACGCCACCGTTGGAGTGGTGATGGCCAAGGCCCTTTCCGACGCCATCGGTCCAGACTCAAGGTTCGTTGCGAGCACCTTGCGGGATGAAAGCAGTAATACTATCGTCTTTGAATCATTTTGTGGACAACTAAATGGGAATTTTAGGTTGAGGAAGATTGAAAGATTAGGCCTCTGAGTCAGGACCTCCGCGTTATACCTGGCGAGAACAAAGTACTTGCAAGCGAGGAAACGACGAAATTGAGAATTGGTAGTGCGCCACCTGTCGTGCTGGTTGATAACTCAACAGATGACGTTATATGCTCAATTTGGTACACCCAGTTACTGCTGTGGCTTGGAGATGACAAGTGAACTACATAAATTTTGATAAGAAACGTGCAGTAGACCCCAATTGTCACTGCGTAGTTCGGCTCTGCAGCTCTTCGACGCCCAGACAAGTTTAATGGGTAGCTGGGATAGTGACGTCACGTCTCTCCGTTCGGCGCGGGGGATTCAAAGCGAGCACAGCACCAGGAAATTTCTGTTTTCGACCCGGAAAGTTCGTTCTTTCGCGCACCCAAAGAGGTGATATTCAAGCTTATTACTTTCCTTCAATTACATGTTGGACAACAAATAATTAACAAATCCTCCTTTGTTTTCTGCTCACTATTTTGCAAACGTAAGTGCCAAGTCACACAACTCCGTCTCCTGTTTTCGAAGGTTTGGATATCAATTACTTGTTAAGGTAATAGTATACTCACTTTGACATTTGCCTCCTCGATCTCTAAAAGAGGGTCTGTGAGGTGAACTTCCGATACTTCAATGGCCGGAAAAGCATGGCGAAAAGAGATACTATGCCAGAAAAAACGCATGGAAATCGAATTTTTCCACTCAAGTTTTTAACTAATAAATCTAAAGCGAAAGCTGGCGCGAGTAGATAAAATGCCACGTCTTGTGGTATATACAAAATTTTCCAGTTTATGTAATAGCCTCGCGATACAAATAGTCCGGTTTGGGTGTATGGTCAGTTACAGCTGAAAAATAAGGGCAAGCTCCGCCTATAAAAGCATGGCGCTGCTTGTTATTCATACATATAAAACTGTAGTGCAAGCTCGTTTTGTTTCAAGCTTGAAGTGCAATTTTCTGCGCCAATAGAACTACCACGCATATCGAAATGTGAAACTACGTCGTTGCTGCCTAAAATATGTTCGACTAAACAGTAACGTCAAAACCTTACAAAAAAACGGCCAGGGCATACCCGTTTTTTGCTTGATACCAGCAAATAAGTTCCTGAAACACGCAATAAGTGCTTGACGTAACGTTGATGAGCGAATGTGATTGCATGAAACGTCTGTGCGAATTCTCACTGGGTCTGACAGCAAGCGTTATGAGTGGAGCTCAGTTTTTCTCAAGTTGTAACTGACACTAGGTAAGAGTACACCGCACGATTTATAGTACTTTATTATCTACTCGCACATCCCGGTTACACGTGCATAGGTGGAACGTGACGTCGTCTGACACCTGGTGGGCGTCCGAGGCGAGCTTCTCCTACTCGATGCTGGCTGGCTGCCTGCGTCAGCACTCCGACCCGAGCGTCATGGCTAACCCGACCGACCCCCAGCCAAAGAGGACGCGTGCCTTCAAGTCGAGCCTGTTCTCCTGGATGCGAGCGGCCAGGGCCGCGTTGGACGCCCTCCGGGAACAGTTCCGAGGTTCGAACCGCGACGCGGATCACTGGGAGCAGGCTCAGCGCGTGTTCTTCAAGCGCTTCTGCCTCCTATCGTGCGGCTCGGAGCGATGGGACTCCATGTCACCGCGGGAGCGATGCACGTGGCCCCTGCTTAGCATGCCCGAGTTCCGAGACGTGTTCAAGTGCAGCAACGACACGTTGGAGCGTTTCGATAGAACATGTGGTACCCTCTGAGTCTATAAGAGGACAACCATTTTGAGCTTCTTGTCCAGTAGATTAGTGATTACCGAAGAATATGAATACATGTTGCTCTGCGGTGGTTCGTGTGGATCATTACGTCGAACCAGCGTCAATGATACCCGGCTTCACGTGAGTACCGACAAGCACAATAGATGCACGAGCTTAGGTAGCGCTTTCGAGGCCGCAGTGGCATCCGCTCCAGACCATCGCTATCAAAAACGCCCTGAATGACTGGTCCGGCCTTCAAGATTGCCACAGCAACAGATTTTGTCGTGGCTGCGCTAAGCGAAATGCACAAAGGACTAAGGACAACGAGAACATGACTTGTCTTTCTCGTTCTTAGTTCTGTAGTCGTACATTTTTCCTCAGCGCAGCTACGTTAGTATGTCATTCCATCTGGGCCAAGTTGAACCTTATGCTTAAAACAGCGAAAACACACTGTCACTTGACTAGCTCGTTCAAATCTCTTTATGTTCGCGTGGTCACTCAACAATCTCGGTGCCCGAGTTGGAGCTGAATAGCATCGTCTAGTCGATATGTGCTCTGGTTGCCTCTATCAATGAAAAATCGGCTTCCTTCCTAAAGCAAACAGCACCTGCTGCGTATCGCAGGAAAAGCGAAAGCAATAGTGAAACCATCGGAACTGATATACCAGTGAAAAAGAAAAATGTGGTGTATACTACGACGCACTTGGACGAGAGCTGCTAAACGCATCGGACATAGCCAGGGACTATCATCGCAGACGTGTCTTTGTCGATCGGTACTGCTGTAAAAGTCGGAGGCTATGGAAACAGAATGTGGAGAGCGGCAGAGGAGGAAGGTTATTAAAAAAAAAGACATGAATGGGCTTTGAGAAGCTCTCAGCCCGGAACTTCCTTGCTTAGTTTTCTCAAACCTGCGAAGCGATGTCGTCGGCTGGTGTAGTGGCTTGACTCAGTCACCTGGTTTTTCGGGGGTAATGAAAGAAGTCGCACCTTTGCCGCAAAAGCGAAGGATTGAATGCGGTAGCAAGTCAAGTCAAGTCAAGTCAAGTCAAGTTTATTTCCAACAACATCAAGTCGGAGGTCCTTAGGCGAAAAGATGTCGGAGACATCTTGAGAGAGCCCAAGAACCCGTTCCAGAGCAGCAGGCATTTTACAAAAATATCGCGTAATTCACTGTACATGCATAAGCCAAAATGAGAGCTTAGTACTTTTTCCTTTTAGTGAACAAAATACATACATAATTTCACGTAGGTCGCATAAATCTTGTAGGCACATGCGCAAAACAACAATTCTTATACAAAAAGGAAAGAAAACATGTAAAAAACATGATAACGAAAGATAGCTAGTGCTGTTTGAGCAATTCCTATGCGTGTAACAACATACTTCGTACATGTTTCTTGAATATACGTTCAGGCAGTTCGAAGTCGATACTGGTTAAGAATTTGTTCAATATTGTTGGTATCTGGTGGTGTAGAAGGCATTCTCCGTAACGTGTGCGAGAAAAGGGAACTGGTCTTAGTTGATTTCGGAGAGCGTATCGACAGGAGCTGTCAATTGAATGCTGATGAAGTTTGTTTTTCTGAATATAAAGTATTAGTTTATATGTGTAAAGGTCACTTGCTCTAATGAGATCATGATTTATAAAGAGCTGATGAGTACGTAGTTCGCTAGGAAGCCCATAAAATTTTTCAAATATTCTAAGAACCTTTTTCTGTAACGTCTCTAGTTTGTTGAGGTTCGGGCTGGGAACATCCAACAAATTGGATGGTCACGCGAATCTAAGCAGATCTAAACGTGTCCCGCGTTTTTTACGCACTGATGACGCACAAAACGTAATCACAGGTACAGATGAACGTGAGTAACTTATGACAAACTGTACAGAACCTGCAAGAAGTGCAATACCGCTGGATATTGAACTGTGAAGAAGCTTTCTCGGTGGCTACGTAATTGTGCGCACGTTGTCAAGTGCAGTTCGCGACTGTGGCATATATGATTGCACAAAATCTATTTCACCGAAAAGGTGATTGATTGATTGATTGATTTGTAGGGTTTAACGTCCCAAAATCATCATATGATTATGAGAGACGCCGTAGTGGAGAGCTCCGGAAATTTGTACCACCTGGGGTTGAAGCAATGAATGGGATAGTGACAATTTGCAATGTAATTCAAAGTGAGGCAGGCAGTGAACTCATCCAGATATGATCTCACGTAATTTTACAAAAAGCTGGTGTAAGAGAACACGGGCGCTCCAGGTATACTGTTGGCACAAGTTGTTTCGTGTTGAAAGCGCAGCCCGTAGAAGCTCCGGCCTGCTGTGGGGCACAAGGTGCGTTCTGATCGTTGCCGTGATAGCGCGGCTAAAAACAGAATTTTCTGTAGCTTGTAAATTTTAAAAAATGTGTCCCCAATGTGCCACCTTGTTGCTCAGGTCTTGGCTTCCGTAGCGGGGTAGGGCCGAAGCCCTTCTTTGCTTAGGAAAAGAACCATTTTACGAAAGCCAAGCAGCTAACGCCTAATTTACTCGTGTTGTAACGCCCCACCCTTTGTTCGCTCAAGTGGGAGGGGGGCGACAAGCACCCCAATTAAGACGATGGCGTTCCAGACACTGCGATCTGACTCAACATCATCGTTAGGGTACAAGGCGAAATATACTTGCTTATTGAGCTGCGCTCGGAAGCGCTATGCTTTCACTTGAGCGTCCACGCGTCTACGTCTGCTCGCGCTCTTCTTATTCGGTTCCGTGTCCCAGCCCGAACATGCAAAAATAAACAACATTCCCAGCCAAGCAAAGTTAAACACACAGTTCAAGTGGCCACAGTCTTTTTACCGGCCTGATCGCAAGGCCACCGCCTTGCAACTTGAGCTTGCAGGAACGAATGAGACCGTCGGCACTACGGTACACTTCCGCGACCCTTGCAAGCTTCCATAGCTGGCGTGGAGTGTTGCCCGCATGCACGAGAACGACGTCCCCTTGCTTCAATGCTGTAGTCAATTTCGTGTCGGCAAAGTGTGCAGATCGTAGTAGCAACAGGTACTCTTTTTGCCAACGCTTCCAAAAACTTTCAACCAGTAGCTTCCTGTAGTTGTGTCTGCGTATGGCGTCTACTCGCTTGGACTTACTGTCGACTTCGTCAGCAAACGCATACAGTATGGAAGTCAACCTTCTTCCAAGGAGAAGTTCGACTGGTATGAAAGTGCAAATTTCTTCTGCATCTGTCTCGATCAAAGTCAGAAGTCTAGAGTTTACGACTGCTTTGACCTCAGCCAGCTCTGTTGATATTTCTGCGTAGTTCAGACGAGCTTTGCCTATACATTTTCGCAGCGGGAGCTTTACTGATCGTACGAGGCGCTCCCACCATCCACCCCACCAAGGAGCATTTGGTGCAATAAACTTCCACGAAATGTTGTTCGTGCAGAGGTGACCAGCGACGTCCTCTTTAGAGATTATTCGGAATAGTAGCCTTATGTCTGCTGATGTCTCGTGAAAAGTCCGTGCATTGTCAGAATAGATTACTCAAGGTAATCCTCTTCGAGCTGTAAATCGTCGTAGGCACAGCAGAAAAGCCTCGGATGTCATTTCCGAGACAAGCTCGAGATGCACGGCTCTAGATGCGGCGCACGTAAAGAGTGCAATGTAGCACTTCGTGTCCCCTTTTTCCGTACGTGCATACAGAGGGACCGCGAAGTCGACTCCTACAATTTCGAACGAATTTCTTGTTGACACTCGATGACTGGGCAACGGAGCAGTCTCAGCACTTCCTGGACCCACACTGAAACGCTTGTATATTGCAGTCATGCAGCACTCTCTTTACCAAAGCGCGAGCTCGACAAATCCAGTAGCGTTACCGAAGCTGGGTAAGGCTCCATGTAAGACTTGAACATTGGCTCTGTTTACTGAAAGTTGCGAAAAGTGGTGGCTTGACGGCATTATGATTGGATGCTTGACATCTTGAGCGATAAACGGCCTCCAACCCGAACAATTCTGTTTTTGTCAATGTAAGGGTGTTTCGAGATATAGACTCGACTGGTTGGCCGTTGGTCAAAGCGGTGAGCTCTGCAGAAAGCTTTGCTCCTGAGGACATCTTATCCAATACTGTTCAGCGTTCAGGATTTTTGCTGCCTCGAGATGTCTTGTGTGATCCGTCCTTTTTTGCATCGGTAAGTGAATCTGAAAACCCACGCCGTGACTGAGTAGGTGCTGAAGCCTGCTGTAACGTTGAATGCTGATTATCGATATTGAGAAGCGTGCCACTAGTGTGATGACGACTGTTGCAACTTCACCTTAGGTGGCCATCATTTAGACCTGCACAGAAGTCTCTCAAGCGTCACACCACGGGCGAGTCGGTCAGCTGGGTTGTTAGGTCCGGGGCAGTATCTCCACTTTGATGGATCTGCTGTGGACCTAATTTCATTGACTCTGTTGGCTACGAACTATTTCCACTTTTTGGCGTCACCTTTTATCCATGGCAACACAATGGAGAAATCTGTCCACATCGTGTAGTCAACTTGAACATTCCTCAAACCACTTTTCACGTATGCCAACATTCTTGAGCCAATTAAGGGAGCCAGTAGCTCTAATCGTGGCATCATTCTCCTTAATGGGGGCTACACGGGACTTTGAAATGAACAGTTCCGGCTTCTCGGGACATGGCACAACGGATATGGCTGCTCCGTATGTCGCTAGACTGTCATTACAGAAGACATGTACTTGAAGCACATTGGGCTTCCTTGCTTCGCCGCCCAGATAGCGAGAAACAACAACGTCTTGCAGTTGCGGTAGCTGGATGACCCCAATCATTCCATTTTTTTGAAGGTCATTGGATAGTACTTCATCCCAGCCAATCCCTCGTATGCACAGCTTCTGAAACAATATTCATATGACAATGGGTCCCAATGGGTCAAATATTCTTGATGCTGACTGCAAGACAAATCGTTTTGTGTCTGTCTGTGCTGTAAAAAACCGGAATGTGTTTTTAACCACAAAGCTGAATTCATCCTTTGCAGGATTCCACATCAAATCCAAGACCTTAACCGACGTTTCATGAAGAACAACCATCTCTTTAATAGCAGACTCTTCTTGAATCACAAGTGTTTGCCATCAAGTTTCCTGAATTTGTTGTCCACTTTCGCAATGTCATGCTAGCCGCTTTCATTATTATTTGTGCTTCTCGGCAAAGTTTAGCGGCTTCCTCTTCTGTATCGGCACCAGTAACTGAGTCATCCACGTAAAACGACTCGGCAAGAGTTTGTGCTGTTTGTGCCATGGCAGCCGGTGCTCTTTTCACGTGGTAGAGAACATTAGCTGTGAGCAAGAATCAGTAAAATGTAGCTCCAGAAGGCACTCGTGTCATTCTCCACTCTTGGAGCTTGCCCTTGCATGAATCTTTTTCTGCGAACCGGAGAAGTGCAAAGCGTCTTTGACGCCCTCCCGAATCGCAATCTGAAGGAATGCCTTTATGTCCGCGATCACTGCCACCGGGTGCTTTGTGAAGCGTAGCAGAATCTGCACGAGGTCTTGGTACATGTTGTCACCTTTTTCAAGGCAATAGTTAAAGAACTTGCTCCCTTTGGTATGTGACGAGATGTGAAACACCACTCTAACTTCGCTCGTCAGCGCTTGTTCAAGGATGACTTCCTTGTGCGGCATGTAATACAACTTCGTCACATCTGCAGGTACATCACTGACTACTTCGGCGTGTCCTGCCCGCAAGTAATCTTTTATGGTACGGTCATACGTTTCAAGCAGTCCTTTCCTAGAGTCGAGACGGTTGACAAGCTTGTCCAGTCGAGTAACGGTGACTTGCTTGTTGTTTGCAAGCTCGAAACCATCCTTCCAAGGGAGGGCCACTTCATATCTTCCGTTTCTAAGGCTAGTCGTTTTCTCAAAATGCACCATGTTGTTGCTCATTTCATGTAGCTTGTTTGTAATGTCGGTTATTCCTATGTTTCCAAGTTCCCAAAAGGAGCACAAAATCTCGTCGGAATCGGTACCTTGGACTTTTAGCACGCACACCATTATTTGTGAAGTAGTTGGTCGAAACACCAAGTGCGATGTGCTTCCCTCGAAGGTCCATCCAAGCTTGGAGTTCAAAGCGATCGATAATTTGTTGCCTTCGCATCGTGAAACTTCGCCGGTCAACACTTTCCACATCTGATCGGATCCGATCAGTACGCTGATGCCACTCTTAAGATGATAGATGGGTATTTGAGCTCATCAGCAACATCTTTTTCCAGCTTCTTGAAAGACGCGACGAAGGCTACGTTCACTTCTGTCTCTGCGATGTCCTCGCAGATGCTTGCGATCTTTATTGCTGTTAGGACTATTTCCGCGTCAGAAAACTCGCTTCGCAGTCGCAATTTTGCGATGCGACGCCTCTTAGCCTCTTGGTCTCATGCACTTGCGAAAGTATGGAAGGCTATTTGAGTTGTTCTCACGCTTTTCAGCTGAAGGTGCTTGGACAGATCTTCAGATAAGAAAGTACTCTGACTGCCCTTATCAAAAACGCCTCGTATGGGGCGGCAGGTGTCATCATTCATGGTCCATGCTTTGAAAATCTAAAAAACGCAAAAACAGAGCCTTCTTTGACGGGTCTTCTTCCAAGTGATGCACAGAACGTCGCAGCTGTTTTTCGTTGTTCTTGTTAGCATAGCCTGACTTCCGCAAACGCCTGTCGGGATCGCACTTTGTTAAATGAAGTGCTGCATGGCTGCAATATATAATGCACAAGGCAAAAGATACTTGTTTATTGAGCAGCACTCGGAAGCGCTCTGCTTTCACTTGAGCGTCCACGCATCTACCACTGCTCGGGCTCTTCTTCGTTTTCTTGTCCCAGCCCAGAACGTGCAAAATAAACAACACCCCCCTCCTTCTTGTTCGCTCACGGGAGACTCGTCTAAGGTGGCGGGAAGGGGTATCCTGACTGAGATTGGGATCAATGCGACAACGATGAAAGGCAAAAGTGTTTGGCTTTCAGATAATGTGCGACCGGCTAGTATGGTCTGCCATATTCCGAGGAACAGGCATCCAATTTTCAATACTGGCAAGAGTACGGCTTTCGCCTCTGCGCTTTTGCGTTGCGCGCATGCGCACAAGGCTGATTCATGTTTTTGTAGACGCTGCTCAGTATGAAGGAGACTGCAGTCACTTTATTACAAACGCTATGAATATAAAGGACCGAGTATTATCGGCTGCACCAATCAGGACATCGTCGGCTTCCAAAGCGGAGCAGCTGGTCATTGCGCTGGCGCTCCTGAAATGGGACAGGACAGAAATATTTACGGACTAAAGGTCAGCCCTTCAAGCTTTCTTGACCGGGGTGGTCTGTGAGGAGATAGCTAGGGCACTTAAGGGTAAGTTGCTTACTCATCATGTCATGACATGGCTCCCAGCGTACGAAGGCGCCGAAGTGGGTGGGCTGGTTAACGTTAATGATTTGGCCCAAGCCCGGGCGCCAGATCTTGCCGCCCGCGCCGGGCATCGGTACGCCGGTGTGCCGGTTGGGAGCGGTGACGGCATTGGTCTGGCCTTTTCGAACGCCAACCCACCCCACTTCAGAGACATTCTGCTTATAAACGAGATCAATAGCCACTACCAGATGAGTCGCAGGGCTTTTCCTTTGCCACATCAAAATCTCACGATGTCCCAGGCCGTGACTCTGCAGACGAAGTCATATCGAACACTCTCAGCCTTCAACAGGTACACGGAGGCCTCCCCTCTATGTCCTGGCTGCGGGGCAGTTAGTGATTTCAAGCACATGCTCTTGGAGTTCCCCTCTTTGCAGCACCACATCGATCATGGATCAATTCCTTTCTCAAGAGCCACATCTGGTTTGACCAACTCCGGGCTGTCCAGAAAGCCCACGATGCACGGTGAGGCTTGGCTTCTCTGTGCCAACGTGGGAGAGGCCCGCAGTCTTGCCTCTTTAAAACGGGGTAAAGATTCTTCTGGACGCGCAGATGGCCGTGGCGCGAAAGGCGATGCTCACTACGTAGAAAGAGGAGGCTAGCGCATCCTTACCCGTATATACATATATATACATACATATACATATACGTTACTGATGGTGGCGGCGACAGCGGAAAATCAGCCGAGACTGTCCATATAATTCCCATCGCAATGTAAAATAGGGGGCCCTTAACCGTCGAACACAATAGCGATATCCTGTTCCTATAGCGTACTTCAAAAACTCAGTACATACTTTATTATATGATATTACTCGAGAATGTATAAATTGTGAATCAATACAATACATAAAGTTGAAAGTGGCTTCTGTCGGTGAAGCTCTCACATGTGGCTGCTTTCTGTGTAATGGGTAGCATTGTTCAAACCAAGATCAATCATGCGCATAAAATTTTTTCAAACTTGCTAGGCACCCGCTACGTCGCCTCAAGAAAACAGCCGCAGTAACATGTGTACATTATGTAGTGGGTGGTTGGCTTAAAGCCATGAGGTCAATATGCTGACGTTTGATGGAAACATGTTTGCACCACGCATTATTACTGCGCTGTTACACGTTGTGCCATGGAGAATGTAGACATGCTGGACGCATGTGTTTGTAATGTTTGAAAGTTACTTTCACCGCATTTCAAAGCTCATGAGGTTATTTTCATGGTATTCCCAAGCAGACGCGTGGCTGTGTGGTGAAAGACTTCCTTGCCACGCAAATTACCCGGGTTCAATCCTAACCTCAGGCCCAGAATTTCAGTTTTTATTTTATTTGCATCCTCCTTGATTTTTCGTCTACACACGAGGCCATTTTTAGCTCACAACTACCGACGCCGACGCCAGAATTTCTGCTAAATGAGCTCTTCAGTGGTATAGCGCTGAAGGCGTTGAATGTGTGCCGTGGAATGTGAACGGTGTCTACAGTGGCAAAGAATGTGGAGCAAGTCAGAATAGCCGCGCACATGGTTGTCCGTGAAAGAGGGGGCGGAGATTCATTAGTGGATGTGCAAATGAAAATTGAAGCGATGACTCGAAGATGAAGCGACAATCTCAGGAACATTCGGCCTTCTTTATCGTCAGAAAGATGCGTTACCCACCCCGTGCGCGTGTAAAAATACTGAACGCTTCAGCTTCGCCTTCGGGAGTAGCAGGCGGTAGGACAATCGGGCTCTATGCAGATCGCATTCTTAATGGTTAGCCTGCTTCAGTTCTTGGTGCTTTCCTCAACCGCACCACAAGAAAATGAACATTTATGCACGCAACACTGGTCGTTTCAGCATATCCTAGAACGCCTATTAGAAGTACTGTTGTAAAGTCCCCATTACGTCATAACTATCCTTTTGGGGAACAGCGAAGCGACAATTGCACGACAGCACGTCAACTAACGCAGTTGGACAATTTTATCAAGCTTTTACAGCTGAGGATTAACAAACATGTCTGAGCGCTATAGTGGCTGGGCCTCTAAAAGATCCACTCGTAGCGCAGTTTACGTGTTTTGACGCCTGGTGCAATTATGGGCTTCTGAAACGAAATTTTACAAGCGTTACTAAGACTTCTCCCATTGAATGACATTCATATTGTAACGCACAGCTAAAAGACCACTTTCAATTAACCAACACCGTAGGTAGGGCAAACTTGTGCCCGAGAATAATGAAGCAGCTAGAACGAAATTTTTCAGCGGTCCCGAGAGCTCACTTCTTTCTTCCCCGGGTCGCGCACTGTTGGGTCCCGAAGGTGCGTGCGCCGTAAACCACCCGATAGGCGTAAGTCTCATCTAGCGCGCGTAACTTGAAATCACGCTATGTCATTGTTCCCCTATCCAAAGTGCATGTCCTGACGCTTGCGACAAACTGGTTGCATGGCGGTGTTTTATAATACTTCGTCGTGGATGCGGTTAACGTCGAATAGCGTTGTGTTCCGATGTTTCGTTTCCTGTCGTGATTGATTTCATCTTGACGACATGCACAGTTTCAGTGCGATGCCGGCATCATGATGACATATCCTGTTCCTCTGGCATAACTTCGTAATTGAGCAAGCCGTCATGGTGGAGCACTCTGTATGGACCGAAATAGTGGCGAAGCAGTTTTTCTGATAGGCCACGTATGTGAACGGGAATCCACACCCATACTCTGTCTCCTGGTGCGTACTGAACGTCCCTTCGTCACAGATTGTATCGGTGCGTGTCCGTTTTCTGCTGTGGAGAATACGATATCATGCCAGCTACCTGGCTTCTTGGGCTCTTTGTTTGTAGTCGTGAACATCATAGTCATTCTCGGACGTATGGTCAATAGGTAATTGCATCTAAAGGTGTCGTTACCGTCCGGCCAAAAACAAGTTGGAATGGCATCATCCGTGTTGTCTCTTGCATCGCGGTGTTATAGGCGAACTTCGCATAGGGTAATACTTTATCCCATGTACGGTGTTCTATATCCACGTGCATCGACATCATATCAGCAAGCGTTATGTTCAGCCGTTCGGTAAGACCATTCGATTGAGGATGATATGCAGTCGTTTACGTCTGGTGTGCGTCAATTTCATAATAGTCTTCGTCAGATCGGCCGTCAATGCAGTTCCTCGGTCAGTGATCAATACTTTTGGAGCTCCATGCCGCAGTACGATTTCGGAGACGAAGAATTCAGCTACTTCAACGGCTGATCCTCTAACAAGAGTCGCTGTCTCGGCATATCGGGTTAGATAGTCGGTCGTAACTATTATCCACCATTTTCCCGATGACAACGTAAGCAATGGGCCCAGTAAGTTCATTACCACTTGTGTGAATGAGGCCTCTGGTGGTTCTGCCGGTTGAAGGAGACGTGCTTGTTTTAACGGTGTGGTTTCACGTCTCTGGCAGTCTCAGCGAGTTCTGACAGTGTCGTACAGAGCTGAGCAAGTTCGGCCAGTAGTATGTAGTGCGGATGCGTGCTACCGTTCTGATTCCTCCTAAATGTCCA